TGGAAGTGTCCAGCTTTTTTTGAGTAGTTTATTAGAGATAAAAATCTCACAGACTTTCCTGTCAGGACTGGCTTTGAACTGTCATCCTCAGATCTCAGCCTCCTGAGTTAACTAGGTTTACAGGCGTGAACCACAGGTGCCCAGTTCTGGAAGGAAAATCTTACCCAAGATCTCAGCTGGAAAGGAATGCTGAAAGTTCTTTCTAAAAATTCCCTATTTCATCAAATGTACTTCCTTCAGGTCATATTGTAAAATATTTCTGGCAGAACCTTAGAGTGAGAAGAGTTCATTTCTTTTATTAGTGATATCACTTCTGGGTAGAACTGTATCCTGCACTGTTGAATGGACCCTTCATTTGAGTAGGCAAGCAAGGAAATTGAAAGGCAAACATCTTTGAAGGATCTGGGCCTTAAAAAAGCCATGGAAGGTCATGTGATAAGTACAATGATCAAAACTTTGTAACTCAGAGATTTTGAACAAGTTGTCTGTAAATTTGGCTAAAACATTCCCTATGTTGAAGATTTTATTGTTTTAACAACCTGTTTTATCTTTCATCAATTTTGGCAGATATGTGATGCTTTAATTTGAACCCAAACTTCCTCTTCTGTAGTCACATCTTAACTATCTGCTTGTTATTCTTCAGGCCAGCAGAATACTGCCTGCTGTTTAGAATATGATCTCCCAAGAATTGTTTTCTGCTTAATTCCTTGGCACCTCCTTCATAGATTCTGTTCTGTTCTCACTCCAAATACCATGAACTCTAGTTAAAGTTTTTGAACCTACTTCTAGTCCTTTGAACTTTTTATTGCTATTGAGACTTCCTAGACTTTCAATCTGAGCATTTCTTCATAGTCTTCAATTTGGGTTTTCTGTGCTCATTGATGTTGCAAAAGCAATACTCACAAGACACTAAGTTGGAAATGAACTTTACAGCTTGGGTGGGGACAGGGAGGAGGGATAGTGAGAGAAAAATGAGGGAAGGGGTAACAATGTTCAACAAGAAATGTACTCATTACCTTACTTATATAATGGTAACCCCTCTGTACATCACCTTTACAACAAAATAAAATTAAATAATGAAAGAAAATGCAGCACTGGACACTGATGTGAACTATGCAACTCGTGGGTGGAGGCGTGAAGGAAGGACTGGGAGAGAATGAGGGAATAGAAGAAGGAAATGTACTCATTTCCTGACTCATGTAATTGTAATCCCTCTGTACAACACCTCTTTAACAACAATAAAGTAAATTTAAAAAATTCAAAGCCATTTGAACCTCTGACCCTTGAATTGAGCTTTTCCTATCAGTGTGATTGTAGAATCTTCCTTTGCCTTATGTTGTGAAATTTCATGAGAATGCACTTTGACCGGAGATTATTCATCCCTTTAGGTCTTCAACTCTAGGTCTTTCAACTTGGAAAATAAATGTGAATTATTTCCTTGGATATTCTTTTTCCTGTGTCTTTTCTGAAACTCTTGATATTTGCACATTAGAACTCCAAGACTGATCTCCAAATGTTGAACTGATCTGGAAGGTCTAATATTTGAATGGTTTTCTGTTTCTTTATCTTGTTCTTCACTTCATGGAACATTTCTCAACTTTGTCATTAAACCTTTCTATTAATTATTTCAGCCATTATAGATCCAATTTCTAGCATTGTTCTCTCTCTTCTTTCTCTCTTTCTTTCTATCTCTCTCCATATCTCTGTCTGTGACTCATATTCCCCGAACACTTATTTTCTGGTATCTGGTTCTTTCCCCCCTCTCCCTGCATCTTTTATTTCCTATGAAGATCTTATGCAGTTTTTTAAATTTTTCTGAAAAAAAATCTCTTCTTGTCTATTTCTCATGTTGAAAACTTTTCTCAGATGCTTTGTAATCTTTATAACCTGCATATATTAGGGTGACTTGGGAGTTCTGAGCATCAGGGTGATGTATTTGCTATGCTTTGTTAGAGGTTTGGTCATTTTCTTTGTAGATATCTGAGTTGTATCTTCTGAGACATACCCCATTTTCAGAGATATACCCCATTTTCAGGGAAGGACCCTTTATTTTCCTGCCTAGATCATGAGGCTTTGGCTGCCATCAATGTAAGAATATGTTGCCAGTTGATGGCAAAAGAGTTTCGGTATTGGTTTTTCTGGGCTCATTGAATCTTTCTGTATTCAGTCCCCCCGCAATTGCCCTCAGCTCTACCTTCTGTTCTTCAGGTCAGGGACCTTGCACTGTACTTCTCGAGAGAATAAACCTCTAATCGCTTTTGGGTAGGCGGTACAGGAGATACCAGCACCTGCCCATCAGCCCCAGAGGACTTGAGTACCTAAAAGTTACCTTTCTGTTAATTCTTTTCACATTTACTTCCTTCCTCCCACTTCCAGGAGTATCTTTAGGGTGCCTCTTTAGGGTTCTGTTGCTTCTCTCTCTTTTTTCTTTTTATTTATTTATTTCAGTGAAAATACTGTACAGAGGGGTTACAATTACATGGGCAAGATAATGAGTACATTTCTTATCAAGCATTGTAGCCTCATCCTTTGTTTCCCCTTCCCATTCCATCCTTCCCCCTGCTTCCCCAACCCTCCTCCCCCCACCAAAGTTGTAAAGTTCGTTAATTATAGTTTACTACTTTTCTACCTGCTTCCTAGTCTCCAGCTTTGTACTGCTCTCTTACCTGCTGCCAGCCTCTCAATTTTTACAGGTTAACATCTTTTGAAAATGATAATGCTTTTACTCTAATGTTTCATGGGAGAATGAAATTAAATGTATGTATTCAGCCTGCTGTCTCCTCTTCAGCCCCATGGTTATTTCTCTATTCCCTTCTCCCTGAGAAAAATGGCAGAGGGCCAAATCTTAAACTTGTTGGCCTTGGAATGTAGAAAGCTTCTGAATAGAGCCTGTGGTAGATCAGGAGAAGATCCAGGAATGGCAGTCAGAAGACCAGGAGAAAGCACATACCAGGCTGTTAGCAGCAGAGGTCTACATGAAAGCATTTTAAAGCTGAGATGTACTATGCAAAGGTCAGATATCATTAGTGTTTGGAAACAATATCCTAGTGTAGGGAACAGTTGAGTGCAGTCAAAATATATTAAAAAACAAGGGCATAAGGATAGATGTAAAAATGATGCTTGGTCCCAAGTGTGGTAGGTCCTGCCTGAAATCCCAGGGTGGTGAAGACTAGAAGAATGTTTTTGTTTTTGTTGGTCGTGAGGTTTGAACCCTGGGCCTGGGCACTGTCCCTCAGCTCTTCAGCTCAAGGCTAGTGCCCTACCACTTGAGTCACAGCACCACTTCTGGTTTTCTGAGTGGTTTATTGGAGATAAGAGCCTCATGGACTTTTCTGCTCCAGCTGGCTTTGGAACCATGATCCTTAGATCTCAGCCTCCTGAGTAGCTAGGATTGCAGGCATGAGCCACCGGCGCTCGGCCAAGACTAGAAGACTGTAATTCAAAGTCAGCTAGAAAAAAATTCTTTTTGTAACTTTTTTATTGTAAAACTAATGTCCAGAGGGGTTATAGTTACATGAGTTAGAAAAGAATTCTTGAGGGAACTTTCAGTCCCCACTTGAAGCAATAAAAGCACATGTAACAATACATACCCATTTCCCCAGCTGCATGGGAAGAGTAAATTGGATTATAGTAAAGGCAGAATCAAAAAGGTCTGGGGCATAGTTTAATTGTTAGAGCACCTGCCTAGCAAGGGCAGGGCCCTGTGTTCAGTTCCCAGTCCCACCAAATAACGTGTGCGCGTATGAGCAAGCGTGCACACGCTGCCCCTGCCCCCACAATGATGCTTGGTTAAAATAACAAGTAGAATAAAAGATATGGTCATATATGGGTTAATGAAAAGTCAATAAAATGAGAATTCATTTTTCAAAAAAGTATTGAAGCTGGGCACTAGTGGTTCAAGCCTGTAATCCTGGCTACTCAGGAGGCTGAGATCTAAGGATTGAGGTTCAAAACCAGTCCAGACAAGAAAGTTCCTGAGATGCTTATGTCTAATTAACTCCAAAAAAGCCAGAAATGGAGCTGTGGCTCAAGTGGTAAACCTTGAGCAAAAAAAGCCCCGGGACAATGTCCAGGAGTAATAACATACACACAAAATGATACTGAAATACCAAGAAATAAATTTCATACATTAAAAAGTCTTCTTTTGGGGTGGGGGATTATGGCAATGACATATAGGAGAAAAGGAAATAAATACATAAAAAAGTAGCAAGAGAATAGAGCAGCTTTAGAATCTGGAGAGAGATAGTAGGTTCAATCTCAGGAATACTAAATTTTTTTGGGGGGGCAATGTTTGTAGCTTTTGGAACCCTACATTGTTCCTATCTCTGTGAAGTAAGGTAGTAGCACTTCTTTCAGTTGCTTTAAGAATTAAGTGCAAAACAGAGAGAGCGAAGGAAGGGGTGACATTGTCCAAAAAGAAATACACTTATTATCTAATGCATGAAACTGTAACTCCTCTGTATATTACGTTACCTTCAGAATAACAATAAAAATTTTAAAAAGGACAATACAGCAAGCACCCAGTAGAGTATCTTGTACACAGAATAGCATGAATAAATGTTAGATGCATTCCTATACCCGTAAGTTCTCCAGCAGAGTAGTTTGAGACTCTCTTCAAGGAAGATATTTGCTTTAGGAAAGTGCATGCTGGGTTTCATGTGGTGAGGTGAGCACATGGGAATTGTGTTTCCTTGTCATGTTTTTATCTCTGTGTATGTGTGCGTGTGAACCTGGACCTTGAGCTTGAACTCAGGGCCTGGGCACTGTCCCTGAGCTTTTTTGGCTCAAGGTTAGTACTCTACCATGTGAACCCAGATTCACATCTAGCTTTTTGGTAGTTAAATGGAGATAAGGGTCTCATAGACTTTCCTGCCTGTGCTTGCTTTGAATCTCAGTCCTTAGATCTCAGCCTCCTGAGTAGGTAGGATTACAGGAATGAGCCACAGTGCCCTGCTTCTTATCATGTGCTTTATATTCTTTCTTTCTTTCTCTCCATGCAGGGCTTACCACCCAAACAATGGAAGGCGGAAGTTACGCACCTGAGTTGCCCAGAACCCACCATGTTTGCTTTCTCGTCTCCGGCGCCTCTGCCTCTAGGTGGCCACTCTTTGCGAGAGATGTGGATACCAAGTTTCCAGCAATCTAAGAAGGAAGCCCAGGCACTAAGGTGGCTGGTGGATAGGAATCAAAATTTCTCATCTCAAGAGTTTTGGACGCTAGTATTCAAGAATTAATTTTTAGAAACATCAGATTGATACAGCCTAGAGTCATCTTGAAGTTTATTTTCTAGTTTGCCTTAATATGTAATGGCCATTCTTTTGATTATCTGTTCAGATAATAATAAATCGTTGTGAGCCTTATCAATTAATAGCTATAAAGTATCATCAGAGGTTACCTCTATTTTTTATGCTAAAAATAAATATTTTATATGGACATTTGTCATATTCATTTTACTTTTGGACTGATGTACTTCTGTAGAAATTCATACAATGAAGAGTATTTTCCCTGGTACAATGGAAGCAGAGGATATAGCTGGATTTTTAATATTTACTACATGATTAGCTCCTTAGTGGTGTTTGGCATTCTCAGTGTCCCAGTGCTGAACATGAACATGAAACACATTACAACTTGGCAATGAGAGGTTCCATCTGTTGGTTTCTAGGCATGTAAGTAAAAACAAGCGCTCTTAAGCTTATTTTTCCCACTATTTAAAGTCAAAAGAATATATGTATGTCTAGCTTTTTTTTCTATACCCACAGCCACCTCTCTAACCATTCACTGTGTCTAATGGCCTCCTTCTAATTCCCTTCCAAAGTGAAATGTCTTGTAAAAGGCAACTTCCTGTATTGATTTGATCAGTGAACTGTTACCAGTTGTTCCTTATAAGTGCTGAGCAGGATAATAAGAATTACTTGGTTCGCATTGAAGAGCTTGAATTTATTTATTCCCAATAAAGGTGAAACCAGCTCTAAAGGAATGGATTTACTGAAGTATTCCTGTGCAGCATTTGATGTACGTAGATCATTTTCTTTTTTTAATTGATTATTTTTATTGTCAAGGTAACGTACAAAGGGGTTTCAAAAGTAAGGTACATTTCTTGTCAACCTTGTTACCCCTTCCCTCAATTTTATACTACTTTTCTTCCCCTCCCCCCCCCTGCAAGTTGTACAGATCATTTTCAACTTATTGTCTTGTGAGTATCACTGTTGTATTGGTTCCCCCTTGTCCTTTGTATCACCATTCTGTTCTTCCCTTTCCTTTCCCTAATTCAAATAAATGTATATACAATCCCAGGGTACCAAAATCAAACAGTGACAGCAGGGGCTACACCATAGGGAGAAGCACATACAAAAGAAACATATCTTTTTTTTTTTTGCCAGTTCTAGGGCTTGAACACTGGGCCTGGCCACTGTCCCCAGACTTCTTTTGCTCAAGGCTAGCACTCTACTACTAGAGCCACAGTGCCACTTCCAGCATTTTCTGTTTCTGTGGTACTGAGGAATCGAACCAGAGCTTCATGCATGCTAGGCAAGCATTCTGACATTGAGCCACATTCCCAGTACTGTTGCTTAGATCATTTTCATCCCCTCTGTTGCTCTTTTTACTTCCCTTCCCCTATACTTTTCTGCAACTTTTTTTTGGTGCCTGTCCAGGGACTTGAACTCAGGGCTTGAGTGCTGTTTCTTTTGTGATCAAGGTCAGTGCTCTTACACTTGAGCCAGAGCTGTACTTCTGGCTCTTTTTGGTAGTTAATTAGAGATAAGTTTCATGGACTTCCCTGTCTAGGATGACTTCAAACTGGGATCCTCAGATCTCAGCCTCCTGAATAGCTAGGATTACTGGAGTAAGCTAAGAGAGCTCAACCTTTAACTTTAATTTTTTTTTCATATACTAATTGTGCAGAAGTCTCATTGTGGTATTTCCATACATGTATATCATGTATATAATGTACTTTGATATAGTCATCCTTTTTTAAATCCCCCCTTGGAAGTATCACTATGGTTCAAGTGATAGAGCACTTGCCTTGAACTGAAGAGCAGAGGGACAGCACTCAGTCCAAAATTTAAGCCCTATGACCTACAAAAAATAAAAATAAAAAATAAAACTTTTTAATAGATGTATTTTTCTAGTCTCTCTCTCTCTCTCTCTCTCTCTCTCTCTCTCTCTCTCTCTCTCATGGCCTCATGAGTAGCTAGGATTACAGTCTTGAGCCACAAGTATGTCTGGTCATTATTCTGTTTTCATAAATGCATATCATGTATTTCAATAATATTTATCTCCCATCCTACTTCCTCTCCCTTCCATTTGACTTCCACCCCAAGCATTTCTCTTTTATTCTCATGCCACTTGTTTTTTAAGTCTGTATTCCACACATGAGAGAAAACATGCAATATTTGTTTTTCTAAGTCTGTCTTATTTGACTTGCTGGTCCTGGGGTTTCAGCACTGTCTGTAGCCTTTGTGCCCAAGGCTAGCACTCGACCACGTGCACTTTCAGCTTTTTTGGTGTTTAATTAGAGATAAGAGTCTCATAAATTTTCCTGCCTGGGCTGGCTCTGAACCATCACTCTCAGCCTCCTAAGTAGCGAGGATTACAGGCTGGAGTCACCAAAGCTCAGCCATAGTTTCATTCTTCATGACTGAATAATATTACATTATGTATATGTACCATATTCTCTTTACCTGTTCATCAGTTGGTGGGCTCTGAGTCTGATTCCGTGTCTTGGCTATGGTGAATACTGCTGCTATAAACATGCGTGCTGACTTAATATTCCTTCAGCTATATGCCCAGGAGTAATATAGAAGCTTCATATAGTAGTCCTGTTTTTAGTTTTTTGAGGAACCTCCATACTGATTTCCAGAAAGGTTACACTTATATTCTCATAAACAGACTATAATGTTCCCCACCCCATCTTCCACAACATTTGTAGTTTTCTTGATTTTGATCCATGTGAGAGCATAACTGAACACCCGAGGCATGATATCATAGTGGCTTTTGTTGTCCTCCATAAACGATTAAGACTCATTTTCTGTGCTTATTTATGCATATAGGTTTTAAACAACTCAATACTTTATGAAATCTTGTGCTAACTTTGTTCTTTTCAGGGGTTCATAAGTAAAAATAATTTCAGAGCTTGTCTGATATACATGTGCCCCAATTTACTAAAATAAAATTCTTGGTTATTTAGTGCAGCATATAAATTTATGAGGAGAAAATTCTATGGGGCTGAGAGTGTACTTCAAAAAAATTAATTAGATGTTCTGAGTACCTATTTGTTTTTACTTAGTATATGCTTTTTCTGACACTGGGTTTTCATTAATAAAACAATTCCTTCTTGTCTCTGACAGTGATGGTTACAGAAGTCGAAGTGTGTCTTCTTTGTAGCAGGATTCCTATCTACAAATGAGAGGTACACTCTCTGAATGCCTTAGTTTGTTTGCCTGTGTTGATTGCATCATGCTACCCCTTTCTCTTTACCTCACTGTCTCCATTTGTGAAATGCTGTTAATCAAGTGACCTGCCTCACAGGACTGTTGTTAGAAATGACTAGGGCTGGGAACCATTTTGCACAGCACAAAACTCTGCTTAGTGCCTCAATGTATTCCACAAAAGTTGTTTGTTAGGACAGATATTTTTAAAGCAGTGTGACAAAGTGGACAACCTTTCCAGAAATCTGAGAAAGAATGTTCATCAGTAGTCTTCATTTCATCACCAGATAATGGAGGTAACTTTGATAATTTAACAACAATACTAGAAACTAAATGTTCTGATATATGATTGGCTTACGTTTGTTGTCATTAGGGACTATTTTCTAGTCATTTGAATAATGATGGGTGTAATTAGCATTGTAAATGATGAACTGGATAATATGGTATGATGTGTACTCCTCAGAAATAAAAGAACAAACAGAAATGAGTATCCTTTCGTCACACATAGGAGAACCAGCTCAGCATCTGTAGTACCCTGCATGAATCTCAGCACAGACCTAGACTTGAAATGCCTGATAGCATGTAGACTATTTAAAAGAGTAATTTCTAAAGATAAAATTCTCTTTTAATTTAATTTTTTACTGTTATTATGAAGGTGGTGTATAGATGAGTTACAGTTACATAAGTCTAGCAATGAGTACATTTCTTTTTGGACAATGCCACCCCTTCCAGGATAAAGTTCTTTGGGATAAATCTGTTGCCTTAGTCTGCCTAGGGTACTGTAACAGACTATGATGAACTGGGTTGCTTATAAACAGGAATTTATTTCTCACAGTCCACAAAGCTGGGGAGTCTTAAATCAACATGTCAGTGGATTCAGTGTTCGGTGAAGGTCAACTTTTTGTTTCATGTATTGCTATCTTGTGTCATCATATGGTGGAAGAGGTGAGGGAGCACTCCGGGGTTTCTTCCACTAATCAATTCGTGATGGCTCTACACAAATGACCTATTTTAGTCATCAAAAGCTTCACCTCTTGAAGTTGTCATGTTGGCATTTGGATTTCAGTATCTAGATTTGGGAAACACAAATACTCAGCTCCTCATCCCTCCAAATTCTTACCCTTCTCACATGCAATATTTATTCACATACCCAAACAGCCTCAAAAGTTTAAGCCATTTCAGCGTAAACTCAAGAGCATAAGATCCAGAGTCTCATCTAAGTTTCATTTAAGTTAAATGTGAATGACAGTCAAGATGTGCTTTATCCTGAGGCAAACTGCCCTCACTATGTAAAGCTTACAAAATATAATGGTGGGAGACACAGTCCCCATCCAAAAGCGAGTAATGGAAGGAAAAATGTCCCAAGTTAAGTTTAAAGCCTAATGGGGAAAGTTGCAGTAGAACTGAAGGCTGGAGAATAATTCTATTTGATTCTCGATGTTGTCTCTTTCAGGACCACTGGGGTGGAAGTATCTCCTCCACTACTTGGTGCGACAGCTTCACAACAACTCACACTAATCTCCATGTTGGCGCTCTCCCAGGCTGGCATTATAGACTCCTGGCTCCAGGAACCTTTCTCCTTAGGAACATAGGCACAAGAGCATATGCCCTCTTTGTGGAGCCTGCACCCATGGGTACCACACGAAATTGCTGCCTGCTCCTACTGGAGGAGCAGCCACTGTGGCCTGAACTGCTCTAAGACACCTGGAGTGGCTGAGGAGTGCTGAGTGCAGGGAGTGATGCCTGTGATCACAGTAGTTCCTTTAAAGCTGCAATGCTCCTCTCCCCTTACTCTTGATAGAAGTAGCAGCTCTGACCTGTCACTTTTAGGGCCCCTTTTCCATTGATTAAGAGAACTACTCCTGTTCTGTAAATAGCTTCTTTTGAGATGGCTGATTCATACTAGTCTTATCAAAAAGCCATTTTGGCACACTCTTAAGAAAATATGGATAGATTAAAATTTTGAGCTGTTCCTTTTGCTTCTCGGTTCTAT